AGTACACTGAGCATGCATGATAAATGCAACACTTCAAAGCAGTGTCAGACCTGCTGCACACAAATGAACTGACTGCACTGCACACAAGCAGCAAGACTGGCAGAGCAGAGTCACAGAGAGCTCCCTCCTCCCTGAGGAGTGTGGTCCCTTCCTCCAGGACAGATAAAACTGTATCACTATTACCTGTAACTGTACTAGTTCACCACAGAACTCCCAGGATGACTGACACATTTCCAATTGTTGTCAATATAATTTTCCCTGTCACAGCTGTGTTTGTTATCTTCCAGCCATCTGGGAAAACCCTGACACATTTAACTTGTAAACTGTGCTAGACCTAACTTTTGCAACTAGAACACAGTGCTCATTTCTAGGTCTTCACTAGAAAGCTTCCATCTGAAAGTGATTAAAAGAAGGTCTTGCACACTGACATGGACAAAGAATGAATAGGTACAAGGATGTATACACATGAAATTTCAAAACAAATCCACAATTTTATAAGGCTTTTAAACACCCACACCAGTTATAAAACATAAATAGGTCAAAAGACCTAGATATACACTTTATTTGGACAATTGTATCAGCGAGACACAGCATACAGCAGCAGCACTCAGCACTGTCAATGCCCACATTTTGAACACTAACCATGTTTACAAACATACCTGTTCTTTCTCAGGAAAAGAAAGCTTAAAAATAAAACCACAAATTAAGCCACATCTATACTAACAAGAAAAGTTCCATCACTTACATTTATAACACAAGCATCTTTAACTCTACCATCTGGAGTAACAAAACATCCTATTGGAAATCCTGGATTACAGTATTTTTGTCCATCTTCCACATCATAGCACCACGTTACAGGCATGTTATCGATAATCCTAGACAGAAATCATCAAAGAACACGTCCTCAGAAAGGGATGCACCTGCTTTCCCACTGACATTTCACATTCATGTAACACACACAGTTTTCACCAGTGCCCACAAGATGCATAGCAGAGGACAACTATCACACAGAAGGAAGAAAGCAACCACTTAGAACATAGATAACAATGTCAAAAAGCAGAAAAAAAAACCACAACAACCTCAAGGACACATCTCAGCTTACCAGTGATGCTGATAATTCAGCTGCATTCCTTTCTTCAAAAAAGCCAGTTTGCTTTTATCAGCACTGTTTCCTGGATCATATGACCTTGTACAAACTTTCTTGCATGTTTCTTGCTTTTTAAAAGTGAACTGTTAAAAAAAGCACACAAAAAGAGTCATTTCAGTTTTGCTTCAAAAGTATTTTAGAGTATTTTTTTCAGGTAAAGCTGATTTTTTTTTTTTTTAGTTGCTTCACTTCCTGACTATCAAAGTCCCATACAATGCCTTTAACTTCAATGTCAAGATTTACATATCTCCAGCAGCAGCAATCCCATTTTACATTGCTAAAAATCTCTTCAATAGTCCAGATAAACTACGTTTGGATAAACCCTGAGGACTGAAAATGTAAAATTAGTAGAAAAGTTATTGCTTTTTTCTTTTACCAGTTTGTTTTATTTTGGTAATTTCATCATCTGCTAAACCAGACTTTCCCTACATCCTTTTTGAACATTTCACGTTAATTTTAGCTGGTTTTCCCCATGACTAAGTTAGTAGACAAGGCTGCCAAAAATCCAAAAAGTTGCACAACATCTAAGCTTCAAGCACAGACACCACCTAACACAAACATGCTCGCATTTGCATCTCAACTTCTAAACCAGTTAGGATTTACCTGCTACTGAGCAAACATACTTAAAACACAACTGAAAATTGTAATGGTATCAAGGCCTAAGTGCTAACGAGGAACAGCATTTCCTAATTGCTGTAGTGTGCAGCCATTTCAAACAAGTAATTGTTATAATACTAACCTATTCAATAGGTATCCAGTCCAAATGATCCATCATGCTACATATTTAAGATTCTCGTGACCAGCAGCCATAAAACTTAAAATTATATTAGCTCAGAGAATCAAAGGAGACTCCCAGGAGCAGTTTACACAAGGGAGGGAGCATCACCTGCTTAGCAGACTGATGAAAAGATGTGACCAGGTCCCTAATGACTGAGCAGCAGCAGACTCAGAAACTGCTGCCTCTTTTTCCTCACAGGGATTTGGAGCATCTAGCAACCACCACACACAAACATAGCCCAGTTTTCAGCTTCACTGGCAAATCCCAGTCCCAACTGCACTTGAACAGTACCCAGCTTTCAAACATTAAGAGCCACTGTTTGACCACAGCTCCTCTATTGCTAATAGCTGTCCCAAGTCGATAGTAGAGCTTTTTAGAGATGCTACATTTGATCATTGCTAATGCAGGGCATGAGACAGAAAAATATCACATACTTCATCTACAAAGTATTTGCATACACTCATTTTACAGAAGATTTTAAGTGATACGCATCAATAACGAAGAATTCGGTTTTAAGCAACAGATAAGAGTGTCCAAGCAGGAAAAAGCTGCAAGTGAGCCCCAACTTGACTTCCCCTTCCTACTCTGGAAGTTGCACAATAGTACTATCACACATACAAACCAGTTCCTGAATCACCACTTTACAGCCTCCAATATTACACTCAATAAACTAATGATTTCAGATCATGTAACACACCACAATCCAGCTATTAAATAACCTCCTAAGATACAGTTTCTGGACTTCTCTACCGCAGAGCAATAGGAAAGAAGGATGATTACTGGCTCAGTTTCCCAACTTTAATTAACCACCCCAAGATGCCTCTGGGCTGGGAGGACTTTTGTTTTTATTACATAAACACTGTAAAACTTATATTAAAAATATAAACAAAAATAATTACACAGTCATCAATCTCGAGCTATGTCTATGGATTAGAGCCATCAGAATGACAGCTATCAAATTTAAATAGGATCAACTGCAAGGGATAAAATAACCTTATATGGAGATGATGCTATTCTCTCCCCAAAAAGCACTTGTCCAAGATTTTCTGAGGGTCTTTTCTCTTCCTTATCTTGACAGAAGTCAAAACTGGAAAAAAAGCAGCAAAAGTTACCTTTATTTCTTATTGACATATAATTGTAAATATCAGCCTAAAGCAAATTCTTAAGTTATGTCCTTAACAGAGCAGTTTTCATGATTCTTTTGACAGTTCATCCACTGCTAGTAAAAAATCTTAGTGGCTTTGCAAAGAAATCTGGCATCTATTTTAAGATCAATTTCAACCAAGATATTTCATAGCTGAAGTATCTTTAACAAAATGCATGATGTTCAGTCCACACACCCTTTTCAAATGGCAATTTAAACAAATAATAGAATATTTCATATTGGTGGAAAAAAAAGAGGCTGTGCTATGGACTATTCATTTCTCTTGCAAAAAAAAAGTTTCTGAAAAATGACACCCCTTTTAAAGGAGTCTTTACAACTAGTATTTAAAGTGAAACGTTTCAAAGAAGGGAGATGTCTTCAATATTGATCACCTGTCAAACGTCATTCACAAATTCTCTTCAATTATATACAGCCCAAAACTGCTGAGTATGAGAAAGATGTTTTCAGTATTTAAATTATGTCAAATATCTGGATTTCCATTAAACAGAGGCAGCAGTAGGTTGTGGAGAAACAAAAAACAAACCCACACGTCTTTGGTGCATAAGTACTTTTTCTCAATAAGTGGTCCTAAATTCACAGGCTTTCCTGAAGTTTAATGTAAATAGAGACACTGTGGGCTTTTTGAGCTAATCTCTGGTCTTGCACTGCACAAGGTAAGATCTACAACAACCTGCAAGTTTCTCTTTTCTGTGTGCCCAACAGCAAGACTGCAAATCATGTGTATCACTGCTTTGTAGGCCTATAAATACATGCAAAAGCAGGTAACAATTTTCACAGACAAGAATCAAAAAAACCCAAAACAAAACAACAAACCAAGAATTAGCTACAGAGCTTTGGTGTAAAAATGAGAAGTAACAGTGACTAGTCTCTGGGCTTTAGTTACCAGAAAAAAGAAACTCAAAGCTCCTTAGATTTACATAACAGGAAGAACTTTCAAATATATTAAACTGCCAACGTTAAATCCTGTACTCAGCTCAAAAGAATGCACCCATGAGAAACCCTGCAGCCTTGTTTTAACAACACCAGAGGATGGTCAGGTGGCACAGGTGTGGCCTTCATCCCTCCCACTCTCCTGTACTTCATTCCTGCCACTGAGACCTGGATTTACTCTTCCATCCCTACAGCCAAAATACTGACACCTGTACGGTATCAGCAGCCGAGAACAGAAAACAGCCTTTCCAAACGCTCCTGGAAGCCTGTTGTAGTGTACTTACGCATCATATTCGTATGGTAGAACTGATTCAACCGAGTCCAGCCTGTTCACGAAGAGCTCAATTAGCGACTGAAACAGGAAAGAAGAAAAAGTATGAAAACACAGACTTTCAGAAACAAACGCGTGGCTGATTCGAAACGCTTAGCTTAGTGGCAAGTGCTGCTATCCCGCAGCGGAGTTACCCCTGGCTCCTGACAGGCCCCGGCCACTCCAGGAACAAGGAACCAAGGATCCTCCCGGGAAGTTCAGCGGGAGAAAGAGAAGCGAGGAAATACGCGCTGGGGATGTCTGGCTTCCCGGAGCAAAGGTTGTCCCTGCGGGAGGACACCCGGGGCGTCCAGCAGCGGGGTGGGGGACACCCGGCGGTCCCCCCTGGCCGCGGAAGCCCCGAGCGGGTGCTGAGGAGGGGCCGCCCGCGCCGGGCCCGCCCGTGAGGGCTCTCACCTTGCAGCTCTCGGTCTCCTCGCCCTCCTCGCAGAAGCTGACGGGCGCTAGGCCGGGCAGGTAGAAGGCGGCGCAGAGCGGCGCCACCGTCAAGAGCGCGGCAGTCAAGAGCCTCATCTTGCAGCCTGGAGGGGCCAAGGCACCATGAGGCGGCTGCAGCCCCGGGCAGCGCCAGGCGGAGGCGGCCCCAGCCCAGGCGAAGGCGGAGCGGCCGCGTCACGGCCGGGTCGGGGCCGCGGCGCCTGCGCGGTGAGGGCGGGAGGCGCTGGGCGCCATCTTGGGGAAGGGCACCCCGAAGTTCGGGAGTGACAGGGCAAGCGGGGAACGGCTTCAAAGTGACAGAGAGCACGGTTAGGGGGGATATCGGGGAGAAATTCCTGACGTCAGAGTGGTGAGGCTCTGGCACAGGTTACTTAGAGAGGCCGTGGATGTCCTATCCCTGGAAATGTTCAAGGCCAGGTTGGACGGCCCTCTGAGCATCCTGGTCTAGTGGAAGGTGTCCCTGCCCATGGCAGCCGGTTTGGAACAAGATGATCTTTAAAGTCTCATCCAACCCAAACCGTTCTAGGATTCTATGATACCAGAACCTCTTTTCAGGTTTTAGCCCCCAGCATTGTATCACAGAATCAATTAGTTTGGAAAATACCTCTGAGATTATCAAGTCCAACCTGTGACCTTGTTGACTAGACCATGACACTGAGTGCCACGTCCAGTCTCTCCTTAGACACCTCCAGGGACCGTGACTCCACCACCTTCCTGGGCAGCCCATTCCAATGTCAAATCACCCTTTCTGTGAAGAAATTCTTCCTAATGTCCAACCTGACCCTCCTCTGTGGCAGCTTGGAACTATGTCCTCTCATCCTGTCACTTGTTACCGCGGAGAAGAGCCTGACCCCAACGTGGCTACAACCTCCTTTCAGGGAGTTGTAGAGTGAGTGAGAAGGACTTAAACTGGATTTTACCAGCTCAGAAATTAGGGGTGGAAATCCAAGGTTTTGCATAGCAACCTTGAAGAATTCTATTTGATGATTTTTTGCTGCAGCTTGTGATGTCTGCAGCCACAACAGTGGGATGGTGCCCCATGGCTCCTTGATACAACGCAGCTACAGCCGTGCCACAGATGTGATGCCAAGCTCCAGGCTCACCTGCTCAGGTGGCAATGGCAGGAGCAGCACTCTGGGACAGCTGCAAAACCTGTCCGAGAAGCAGGGTAAGTGCAAGCAATGGCTGCAAACCCAGCTCCATGCAACCATGGCAAGAGAGATACTCACTGTTGTCTGAGACATTGTGGTAAATGCATTGCTGCCAGTACTGGGTAGCAAACACCTCCATCTTCCTCTCTGTATTTCCCATTCATGCAAGCCATTGCCACTCTAGTTGTCAACATTATATTTGTATTAGCCTGCAAGACCTTCATGTCCAACAATTTTAACCCATTTATCAATCAATAGTGAGTTGCCCTTACTGTAGGACAGTAGCAGGCAAAAGGATAAAGAATAAAGAGCATATAATAATTGCTTATCTTGTGCCTCTTCAGATGATTCTGGAAAATTTGTGTTGTCATTTCAGGCAGCTCCAGCTATGTCTTAGGGACCTGTGATCCACCTCATACTGATGAACTGAAAGAGGCCACAATGAGATCCCAAACAGATGATTTGGGAGGAGTACATAAAGGAGTTCCAGTTTAGAAATGGCTGAGAAAGTCAGTGCCAGAAACAATTATTTTGTGCTGCTCTCATCCACTCTAGTCTGCGTTTTCTCACTTTTGCTGAATTTCTATAAATAACTATCAACTGACAATGCCTGCAAAATTGCTCCTTGTCACGAAAGTATTAAACTGATCTTTTCAGTTATTAGTTTTTGACTATATATCTCAAGGGAATTACATTTCCTTTTTTATTCGTTCTGAGTGAGTCCTGTGTGATCAGATTATTTATGTATTCATTAGTCCCCATCCCCCAGCCCTCCTAAACCCTTTATTCATTTTAAACCACAAGTATGATGAACTTGGTAAAAGGCCAATGTTTGATGATAATACGCAGCATGCTACAAGGGAAATCCAAAATATTGTCCTCTGCATGAAAAAGTTTGTAGTTTAAAATCAACCACATTGTTAAACGTCCTAGGATTCATTTGAGAAAGTGACATTTTAGTCAAAAGCTACCATGAAAATCCAGCAAATGCTACCCTCATGGATTGTTGTCCACCCCTCCCGTCTAGTGGGCTCATTTTTAGGGTTACATAAGTAACATACTTAATTGCATTTTTTCTGCTTTGGAAAATGTAAGGAAAACTTCCTAAGCTGTGATGATGCATGGGCAAGTATATCTGTGCTAGTTAGAGAGCAGCTGTCCTCTGTGTAAAGGTTGGTGGAATTTTCCGGGTCTCTCTCTCCCCAGTTGTCCCATCCGAGTCCATTTCCCATTCCATAGGGGCCAGTATTAGGACCTCATATTACTACCTTAATTTCGTATTAGAAAATTCAAAGTTGAGAAATCACTTGCAAAAGAAACTGTCATAGCTCTTCAGCCCTGACCTTCTTACTGAAGAGGGATTAGTTTCCTTTCAGACTGCAGTTTGTTCTCTGATGATTTCTGTAGTTTCTCTACAAAAAATCAATTTTTGGGAATAAAAAAAAAAGGAAAGGAGGGGGAAGAATTGTAAGAATTAAAGAGTTATGTATCCTCTAATCCTCTAGGAAAAGATCTGTATCACTGAATTTGAAGTGAGACTACACATTCTCTATGCAGGGAGACATGGTAAAATTCTGTTCCAGTTTGCACTGAGGATGCACCTAGGTTTTGATGAAAATCCTGATGAAGATATCTCTTAGGACAAAGGACAGAAGAATTAGGCCCTGATACAATTACAGCAGTAATGTTCAAATGCTGTTTCAAACATAATTATGTTCATGCTGATCCCACTGAGCTACATGTACAGTACATGGTAATACACGAGCTACATGTACAGAATGTTAATAAAATGAAGCCTGGAGTTACCAAATATTTTACTCTTGTAATCATAGAAGGAGAAACAGACTTTAGTTTGCACATGCTTATCTTTCCAATTACTTGTGAGGCAGTCAGCAGATACACTGTGGGTCAGAGAAGCACACAGAGACCACACAGACATAGAGACCTTTTTTACCATGTTTCTTACAGGACTAACAATTCACTTTAGTTTTCACTATGCATCCCAGGGAGCCTCTGAAGTTTAAATTCTTTTGTATTGAAACTAGAATTTGAAGCTTTTTTTCATATGATAATTGGATGAGAATCTGGCAATGCCATTCTTCAGCAACTGCATTGATATCACGGGCAGTGCTCGCCCACTTCATTACGAAGGTCATCTTTCCCTTTTCCCATGCACAGTAACGGTATCCAGAAACTCTGAACATCCACGCTGGAAAGGAGATCATCTTCAAGAATGTACTGCAGTCTAGAGCAGTGTTTGAGAGCTCCCTTTGTGTTCTCAACACAACTATGAGCGAGTCTGAAACGATGTTGCTTCCTGCTTTCCCTAACACAAAGAGCAGCTGAATATCAGTAGCTGACAGAGGAGACTGAAAAACTGAAGATAGGAATAGAGTCTGATGTTCTGTTATCAGGATGGAGCAATTATGCAGCTCTGTGACTGTAACAGCACTGGGCAGTGTTTGTGGGATGCACAGACCCTGTGGCACATCCCAGAAATAAACGTCTAGAGAACATGCAAGGGAGAACTTAAAAGACTGGGTGTTGATTAGATTGGGTGACCAAGAAAACAGGCCTTGATAACTATTAATATGTTTAGATAATCTACAAGTTCATATTATGAAAATTTAGCCAATTTTTACATGCATGTATTTCCCCCTAACTTTTCTGCTATCAGGTTTAGCCATCCAAAGAAAATCTCCACAACTGAACTTCAGGTATAAATAATTTAAAACTGGAGTTAGTTGAACCAGTGCAAAACTTTGTGCTATCAACAAACACATTTCATTTTAAACCACACTTGGTTTGGTTTGCTGTAAGTCTCCAAGGAAGGGGTACTGATATGGACACGTATTGATCAAACTAATCAAAAATGCCTTTAAGGCTGTTTCAGCTGAACTGGGTTAAGCTCCTGCACAGACACTTCTGACAGTACTGTGAGTGATTTTGCTTCCAAAGCAGTGACAGATCCGCTCCTTCACAGAATCACAGAATCACTGAGGTTGGAAGGGACCTCTGGAGATCCTCCAGTTCAACACCCCTGCCAAGGCAGGGTCACCTGGAGCAGGTGACACAGTAACATGTCCAGGTGAGTGTGGGGGGAGATGGCAGGCCCATGGAACCCCTGGGCCCCCTGGAAGCAGAAGAGCTGGAGGTATTGAGGGGAGTAAGA